CGAAAAAGAAACTCCTTCCTGTCGCTCAGGCCAGGGACCTTAGATTTAGAGCTCTACTCAACATACCGGAACTTGCTGACTACTCGTCTTACCCCACTCCTCATCCTCCTACCTCCTAGTCCTCCTCCAACTCCTACTCCTACCCCTAGCCCTACCCCTACGCCTATACGCCTACGCCTACTCCTACGCCTACGCCTACTCCTATTCCTACGGGAGCCTATACATCCTAAACCCTAAAACCTATAAACCCTAAGCCATCAACGCCTAAACATACGTTTGAACAGTCTTCTTAATAGGCTTGATCTAATATCTAAGTTAGATCCCGTTCTCTAAAATTCACATAGTGAAAACTGCAAACTCGTGGGCTTCCCAGCCCCGGAGCTCCTTCCCCGGAAGCTCCGCGTGGACGCTCCGGGTCTCTGCGCCGTTCTGTTCGGCCTCCAGATTCGGACTGAGAGCTTAGGGTTTGGGGTGTAGAGTTTAGAGTTTAGGGTGTAGGGCATAGGGCTTAGCAGATTTAGGGTTTTTTTAAAAAGTGCAAGAAGATTTAGGGTTTAGGGTGTAGGGTTTTTTTTTTTTTTAAAGTGTATTGGCTCTTTATCCACTCCGCAGGAGCAGGTCTCGGGCCTGCCTGGTCGGCTTACACTACAATGAAAAACTCTCAGTTCGTCGCCCTCATTGATGTCCAGGCCACTTTGAAGAGAGGTGCAAACGTCACTCATCCCGACTACGACTTCGTTCACGGACAGATCGACCCCGGCGTCTTCTTGTTTCACCCCAAGGACGAGCCACCCGTCTACGTGCAACACGACGACGAAAGTGAAGAGGACGACGAGGAGGATCTCCATGAGGTGCTCCAACAGGTCGTCGATCAGCAGCAGGAAAGCGAGGAGCAGGGCGACGACTACGAAGGCGGCGTCTTCCCGAGCCAGTCAAGAAACCAGCATTCCCAAGCATGGGTGGACGAGGAACACCAGGAGGCCAGTTGGGAATGCTCACGTCCTCATTCTGCTGCACTAGGTGTAGGACTGCATCATTTTCCGATGGCCACAGACCCTCAGGCGGATTGAGGCCACGCTCTTCATAGAGGGATCTTCCATTCGATCTCCATGCACGTCGCCGATATCCTACCAAGGTCTCCGGTCTTTCTGTGGGAAGCATGGCCAGCATTTCTTCTACTGAAGTCGGGAAACCTGGTGCCAGAAGCACTGACTGTGCTGAGACTGTGGCATTGGAAGGAGTCGACGAGGGTCCTGAGCCATGTTCTGCTTCACGTAGTATCGCCGACCAGATCGACTGCTCATAGCTCGCGACGTTTAGAGGAACACCAGTCAGGGGAACCTGTACCCACTCCAGGGCTTCCTCGATGGCATCCAGGAGGAGGCGTTCTCTGTGGCGTTCCCGTCGTACATGCACAAGCAGACGTCGTACCAGCTCTACCACATCAACTTGTCCACCATGGATAAGGTTCGTGTTGACAACATCCCGGACAACGTCAGAAGACCACACTATGGAGGAAGTCGTGCTCGTTGTCCACAAGGAAGAGCCCCATGAAGTGTTCCACGATGAAGTCCACTGAGGAGAGGTGGCCACTGATGGCAAAGTGAAGAAGATATTTCCAGAATCAGTTCCCTCCTCCCACAACGAGGCCAGTGAGGTTGTCGTCGTACTCTCTTCCATCCCAACTGTCGTGGTCGTAGGGCTCGTAGACAACGTAGAGACATCGGCATTCGGATCCACGATAACAGTCTCACCAATAGGGGCCAAACTCGACGTGCCTGGCATCGTCATGTCGTCCGTGGTATCCTCCTGGTGGGTGTTACTGTGCAAGGAAGACGACTCCACCGGGTCTCGCCATATACCTTGTAGTTCATCCGAAGGAAGGTTCACCGGCAGAGGTGGTGGCGGCCCAAATGGTCCGTGAGTCAAGGAGCGAGGGCTGATATGAACAATCTCGCCCTGCGAATTGGCCGCCCATTCACTATCCATCGACGGAACGTGGACGCTAGTGCCGGTGGGGCTACGTGAGCGGGTCCGTCTGTCCCTCCGGCGAGTGGCCCTGCGTCTAGTAGAAGAGCGCCGTCCCGAACTCGAGGAGCTAGCAGCTTCAGTGCCAGGTGATTCACGAGCACCATCACTGAAAAGACTGTGGGGTTCTGGAGAGGAAGCCGGCATGGATGGTGTCCCCTCCGTGTCCGCAGGTTGCAGGCGGGTTGACATGTGGCGCTCGAGGGTATTGGTGAACAGCTCCACATAGTTGCGGATCCAGTTGAATAAGCGCCAGGTGGTCATTTCACCCCGGGGTACCCGTCGAACTGGAAGAAAACCGCGAGGAACAAGTCGACGACTGATGACTTCGAAGAGGGCTTCCAATGCGTCCAGTCCATCAATAAGACGATGGCGGAGGCAACCGAGCGCCCAGCGGCCTTCGGGTCCCTGTCCTTGCTCCTGCATTCTATCGAGGATCTCAAACAGGTTTTCGACTCGTTGAACCATGTTTTGCGGAACACCTCGTTCGTCCAGCCGTCTCCTTTCCGCCCCAGTCAGCTGCATGAACATCGACTCCTCATAGTCAGGTAGAGGTGCGCCTGTCAGAAGCGAGACAGTTGCAGGGCCAACATTGGGAAAGAGACCTGCGTTAGGCAGAAGGTCATCCGGAATGTCTCCCTCCTCATCCTCCTCAACCACAGCATCCAAGGCATTCTCCCCACTGTTTGTACTCATCGTAGTGGTCGTCGTCCCACACAGACACCCAGGAGGCAGGAGCCCATGTAGCCATGCAGATGAACAACGGGTGTAGGGCTTGGGTCTTCTTGTTGAAAGTGTGGTGGGCCTCTCTCTCTCTCTCTCTCTCTCTCTCTCTCTGCAGCAGGTCGATCGGCTCGCCCTGTAGGGCTCACATTAGTTATGAAGTATTTCACTTCACAACCTGAAAACACTTCACTTCCTTCACTGTCCTTCACTCACAAGTCACAGGGGTTTAGGGCTTAGGGTGTGGGGTGTTTCAAGGGCTTGGGGTTTTTACCCCTTTATATGACCCGTTTCTCAATCTTTCAAGGAACCTCTTTAGAGCGTCTTCAGGATCCCGGGTGGAAACCTGAGATAACTTCTAACCCGGCAAAAGGACCACGTGCTCTTTTCAAGCCCTTCGAAATTGAAACAATACTTCAAATCCTGAAGATCAGGAATCTTTAAAAACCTGAACTCTTAACGGAACACTTATAGAAACCCTTTCATAGCACCCCTTTTCTTGAACCGCTGCGGCCTGGCGGGCCCGTAGCCTCGAGTTGGCGCCGCGGTCCAGGCCCTGGGCCGGCGCGCGAGCGCGCGGGAGCGCGGGCGCGAGCGGGCGCTTCTTAGGGTCTCTTAAGGCGCCGGGATTCGGGTTGGGGCTTAGTGTTTAGGGCTTAGGGCTGTCTTAGCTTTTAGGGTTTCTTTTGCGTTTTTAAGGTTTAGGGTCCAGGGTTTACGGTTTCCATTTTATTGTGGGCCCTTTTCCGTCGGCGTGAGCGTTCAGAACCCAAGTTCTTGGGAGCCTGTAGGTCGGAGCCTTCCGGGTTTGGGTAGCAAAGCGGTAAAAAAAGTTATCAGAACAAGAATCGACAGAGTGTAGTGTTTCGGGGTTTGGGGTGTAGCAAAGCAATAAGGAAAAAATCAAAACAAGAATCGATAGGGTTTAGTGTTCAGGGCTTTGGGGTGTAGCAAAGCCGCAGGGAAATAGTTTTAAACTTACGGCTTAGGGGCTTAAGCTTACGGTCTTTTCTTTTGAAGGCCCTTTTTCCGTCTGTAAACGTACTTTGCTACAGTAAGCTTGCGGTTTAGGGTTCAGGGTTTAAAAATGCGCGGTTCAGGGTTTAGGCTTTCCTATTTACGGTATAAGTTATAAGGCTTCGGGTTTCGGGTGTGGGGTCCAGGGTTTGTTTGGAGGGTTTGGGTCTGTTGTTTGACGGATTGGGAGACTTTATACCTGTGCATGTATACCGCGGACCCATTCTCTAACCCCCGAATCGCAGTTCAACTTGTATGCGCCTTTCCTGGGACATACTTCTCGTCGCTGGCCATGGCAGCGCGGAGCGTTCAAGTTGACACTGCTTGAGGTTCTAATCAAGGATCGAGACTCCTCTACACCCGAATCTACTGCTTTCGAAGGCATACTTGCTGATGACACACACACACACTCTCTCTCTCTCTCTCTCTCTCTCTCTCTCTCTCTCTCTCTGTCTATCGCACTAGTACTGATTGACTGCAATTGCTTCTCAGCTGTCGATTTGGCCACACGACATATTATTGGTGCTATCGGTGCTCCTTTTAACCCTGCTTTCTCTGTTAGATTCATGAAGCTGTTGCATTCACTCCACGTTGCCACTGCATGCTGTTCCTGCATTCCAAAGTGCACAAAACCATACCAAATCAAACTGCATACTACTGCTGTGTCGCTCACGGCTTTTGCTCTGTTTCTTGGCCCCGTGAAAAGGCTCAGCTTCTTCGATCTCCGTCGGGAGAACAGCTTGAGAGAAGATGCCGCAGAAGACAAGATCTGGGTAAACAACCAAGAAAGAGCTCCGGTCACACCCAGCGAGTCAGCCTAGATTACCATTACGGGCTACGGCTAAGGTCTCACAAGACCAAAGATATCACAATGAGAGCACTTACTTCTTCGATCCTGATACCTCGGCCTTCAAAGATCGTTATGGTGTAGGACTCAGCGTTTGGGACTCTAAACTCCTGACTCCAGCCGGAAATGCCAAAAACCCCTGCTATTCCCGATCTACCACGCAACCGAAAGGTGTAGAGTGTCGGGGGAACACACAAAAGCGCTAAAGAAATAAGGAATTCATTCCAAAAAAGCAAACCCTGAACCCCAGGAACGAATCCTTGACCAACCCTTTCTCTTACCTTTGGCTAGTAGGGAATGGAAGAATCGTAGTAATCGTAGTTATAATTATACCCCATTCCTCCATTCCCTGCTAACCAAAGGTAAGTTCGTCTGGGTTCCTGGCCAAGCCGTGCAAAGCTACAGCCTCCCCCCGGAGGTCACCGGCAGCGCGGAGCAAAGGCACCGCCGCGTTCACCAACTGCCGGTTGTTTAGGGTTTAGGGTTACTTGGAAAGCTTGGTTCCTTGCTCTTGCTTGATTCTTGGTTTAGGCTTTCGGATTTATGCAGAGTTTGGATGGATTTGATGAAGTTTAGGCCTAAAACTCCGGGATTCCGAATTTCATGCTACAGTACGTCAGTACGGCTCTTGGAGGAGGTCCTCGTGAGCTTGTAGCTCCCCGCTTTAAGCGACTCTTGGCAGTTCTGGTCTCTGCAACCACTTCTTCCACACCCGAAGCTCGAAATCCTCCCAGGAGTCTGAACCTGTCCCCCGAGCCCCAAACCTCAAACCCGGCGCGACAAACCCTAACCTAACCAACTCTTGTAAACCCTAGACAGCCCCTTATGGAACCACGCAAACCTCCAATCACTGATCATCAGAATCCTCAGAAGCATCAGCTTTCCAAGGCCTGCTTCACCTCCTCGGCCGCAGCCAGGCGATCGCCGCGCTGCTTCATCATCTGGCAGATCATCAGTTACAGGAGGGGCTAAAACATAAGGTTTTTAATGGATATTTATAGATTTTATGAGCTTATGTACGGCTACTTAGGGTCATGCATAAATAACGTTATATAGGGTTACATAGGGTTGTATAAGTCTGTATAAGGCTGTAGGGCTGTACGGTTATAGGCATATACCGTTCTAGGGATATAGGGTTCTCGGGCTTAACGCTCAGGCAGATCAGGATCAGCGGTAAAGGTTCGGATCCAAGATATAAGGTGCGGCCTGAAATCTGTAATTAAGGCCGGGAGTGAATCAATGAAGTCATGAAGTGAAAGTTCAGGAAAATTCGGCCAAGTAGGGTTTTGGGGTCTTAGAGCTGGGGTCAAGGAACCAAGAACGCTGGTTGCATTACAGCTGGACACCTCTGTTGAAGATTTGTTCACCACCATCTTCTGACCGGCCGGGAGGCAGTGTTCGAACAGTTCCTTGTGGGCAGCCGCACCAGTAAGTGGCATGAGGGGTTGATGATCTAGTGGTAGAATGAAGTACACAACAACATCTGAGGGAGGGTTGGACATCGCTCCCCAAAGCTCGAATGACCTGGACTTCTGCGCCTCAGAACTCCCCAAACGCCAAGAAAATCTTAAATCCCAGACCTCGACATCGTCGACAAAACCCCAAACCCTAAGCCCCTAAGCCCCAAACACTGAAACCGAAGGCCTGAACCCGAAACCCTCCACCCTAAACCCTGATCCGAACCAACCCCAAAACCCCCCCGATGAGGCAAGACAGGGCAGCGGCACGATGTTCACCAAGGCCAACAGAGCTTGGGCCTGCTGGAGTTTGGATTTAAGGGGGTTTAGAGGAATTTTCTGGTGGCGAGCTTGGGACTAGGATTCAAGGATGGGATTTAGGGGTGGGGCTGAAGGGTTTGGGGTTGGTGAAGTTTAGGATTCATACGGGGTTAATGGAGACCGGGTTTGGAGGGCTTCAGGCGTCTTGAAGCTTTGGACTGAATAAGACCTTCTGGCGTTGGGTAGCATGGTCTCAATAGTCTGGTCTAGCCTTGACAGACTTTACCAGCCTTCTGCCAGTAATTCAAGGAGAAGAAATACACAAGGTGCATGGGTTTTAGGGTTAAGGCTTATAGTAGAAGCCAGAAAGTTGGAACATGATTATCCTCGTGCTCCTAAGGTAAAGTAGAAGCGATCCTAGCAATCATCCTCCTAAAGCCATGTTCCAACTTTCTGGCTTCTACTGTAGGATCTCAGAGTCTGATCCATGAAGGAGAGAAACTTGTACCATCCCGCCTACAAACCTCTTGTGCAAACCTACCACACCCTCATCCCGAAAGACGAAACCGTGCTCTTGAATGAAACACCAAGCCCCTAAACCTCAACAGCCTTGAACCTGGAGTCCTGACTGCGTCTTTGAAACTACAAACCTGGGTCTCTCACCCAATAGCGTTCCCAGAAATCCTCATATCTCGGGTAAAACCATCTTTCCTGACGGCTCCTAAAACCCTCTGGGATCCTCCTCTTCAATTCCTAAACCCAAAGCAAATTCCACCGAAAGGATCCGATCGCTACCCGGCGACGGCCTCAAGCTTAGACTCACCGGTGTCCGCGAAGTATCTCCGAGCCTCGGCGGCCCACCTGAGTCTAAACGCGAGCTGACTTAGAAGATTGGGTTTAGTTAGTTTAGTTTTGGGTTTCCTTAGAAGATTGGGTTTAGTTAGTTTAGTTTTGGGTCCTTTAAGTTGATGTGCACCTTTCTCCAAAGTAGCGCTGGCATTTAGTTTTGGGTTTAGGATTTAGGGCTCAGCGTTTCGGCTTCCGGTCTCCAGTTTAAAGTTCAGAGAGTTTAGGGTTCCGGAGTCTTGCCTTAAGGGTTTCCGTTAAGGGTGCCCTAAGAAGTGTTCCTTAGAGAGGCTTCTTCAAGGGGGTGCCTTTACGGTTTGAAGACTTTGGAGTGTGTAGATTTGGGGCTTCTTCCCTTCCTCTAGATGGCTCCTTCAAGGGTTCATAGGTTTTAGTTTTAGGGCGTTTCGCTAAAGGGTTCCTGTGGAACCTTTTCAAGGGTTCCTCAAGTCGTTTCTAAACCTCCTTAGGGGTTGTAGACGGGTTTGGGGTTTGGAGCTTGAGCGCTTTCAGGGTTTAGAAGCTTCTGTCCGATTGAAGCCCCGAGAGCCCCAAACCGGTTGGAAAGAAGGGTTTAGGGTTTTTTGGCTCATATGTTTGCCTTAGCCGACTTCACCCTACTTTTGTGTAGGTTCGTATTCTGAGCCCTAATACGGAGTTTATAGGGGCCCTACAAAAAAGTGGGGTGAGGTAGGTTAAGGTAGGGTTTGGGGGTCCAGAGCTTCAGGGTTTAGAAATTGAAGGGGGTCTCCGTAAGGGTCACTTTCAGGGGGTGCTAGAACGGGTTGCTACCAACCGAATACAGCACGTGTCTCTGCGGGCGGTACTAAAACGATTTCTAAAAGGATATCCAACAATACCCCAGGATTCGGATTGAGCTTCACGGTTTGCTGGGCCGCCCAGCGCTTTTGCACGCTGCCTGTTTCGGCTGCCGCGCCTCAGGCACGTGGGGCTTGGAAGTCTTAAGAAATCCTAGGTTCCCCAATAGACCGTCGAAGAATAATGGTACCCTCTTTCCTACTATTTGGTTTTAAGAAGGGAACTCAACAAGAAAAAGGGCAGCAGGGTACTGCTGTGGAACCTAGGATCTTACAAGGCTGCATGGTGATAGCTTTAAGGCTTGAAGGTTGAGGAGTCCGGGGTTTGTTCTTGAGGTCTTGCGGATCTCCATTCCGAGGGTTTGGGCTCTCAGCAAAGCGTTACGCCATGATTCGGGGAATGATAGAGATAACGACCCCAAAAATCCAAACCCTGTGCTTGTCAGGGCCCCGGGCTTATCGGAGTTGATGCCAGCCAAGAGCAAAAGCATCCTTGCCTCGCGGTGATCAACAGCTCTTGGGAATTGGGGTATCCTGAAAGACGAAATACGGGTATTTCTCTAAACTAAGGTCCCTTTTAAGTCCCAAAGCAGTATGGCACCTTCGCCAAAAGGACTCTAAAAGGGATGCCTAATTTAGAGAACTACCAATGCATATACCAAAGGAGGCTGACGTTCAACGAACATCAAAGTACAGCTTCCGTACTGTGCAGGGTCTTCCGTGGCCCCCGGCCCCCGGTAGACAATAGCGCCGGCCCTGTGTTGGGGAAAAGGACACCGACAACGATACCCATGAGCACGGCCACGATGACGATGACGACGACGATGATGATGATGATCGTGGTTGTGGTTGTGGTTGTGACTGTTGTTGTCATTGTGATGTTGATGCTGGTGATGTTGATAATGATGGTAATGATGACGATAATGATGATGGCGGTGACGATCATGAAGACAACGATGAGGGCGATAATTATCATGTTGGCGCCAACGACAGCAGCAGCAGTACCGGTACTGTCGCGGATAGCAAAGGTCGCAACTAACCAGTGGTTTTGGGGGTTCCCTTGGCTCTTTAGCTCCTAAATTATTAGGGAGTATCATCATCCCTGGCTCCTCAGCTCCTCCAATAACCTATGGTTAGGCAAGGCCGAGAAGGCCTCGGCAACAGCTGAGTGAATCTCGCCGACAACCCGAAAAGCAAACCTCGCTTCTTCTCGCAGAATGATGTAGATGTGAACCAACTCATATGGTTCATACCACATACATCCGTATCTTTTAGGTTGCGGGGTTATGGCATAACTCGAAGTCGGACGCCCACAGCTCACACCCGCAAGCTGAAGCGCGTGAGGCTTCTACAAGTGCTTGGTCATTGGGCTGACTTCCGCGCCCATACCCCATACCTTAACCACCAGTACCCGGAATTGTTGAGCCCTCACAGTAAGAACCCTACCGTACCCATGTTGAATCGAATAAGAATTTAAGAAAGGCCTACTACACCTGCCTCTCCCGCTCTGTCCCCGGAAGCTCGGAACGCCTCGAGCTGGCCATTCGCCTCAGCTTCAAGCTCCTACTGCCAAGTAGTCTTACCACTACTGTTGGTACTATTGGCAATGACTTAGGTTTTAAGGCTAGGGCTTGGTGATATCACGGCTTGTGACAGGATGTTGATACTGATGAAGCCGTGCTACGAGCTTTTTATGATGGTAAATGACTCGGGCCCCCTGATATCAATCCCTACCTTCAACCCCACCCAAAGCCCGAAAGCCCTGAATTCATAAATCGTGTCGAACCCTATGGCCTGGCAGAGCAGTGGCAACCCTACAGAGCCCTGTAGGATCCCGCATTGCAGCGGCCTTTAACCCTAAACCCTAACAGCCTAAACCCTAAAACCCTGAACCAAGGCTTCTGCGACTTCGTGCGCCTCCTTCAGTCGGCCCTGACCGCCCCAGAGCATTGAGGGTTCAGGGCGAAGAGTTTAAGCTTTTGGGTATAGGGTTGGTGGGGCTCTAGCGGTTTGGAGTTTTGAGTTGAGGCTTTTGGGGTGAGAGAGGTTTATGTTTAAGCACATATTGGGTGTTGTAGGGTTTGTCTTACTAGGGTCTTGGAAGACGTCGTCAAGACTTTTTGGTAGTATACTGAAAGACAGCTACACATACATATGTATCTATATATATATATATGTATGTGTATATATCTATATATATATACAGTATGTCATGCATGCATACATACATACATATATATATATATATATATGTGTGTGTGTGTGTGTGTCATGGCAAAGCCGCTTCTGACTACAATGAGCTATTCAGCACCGTGAAGTCCACCGCAACAACCTGCAAATGTAGCTTGTGCTGCCCGTCTTGCTGATATCCTCGCTATCCTTCATTGTCGGCTTCGCATGCCAAGGCTGCTCTTAGTTCGGCGCCATACTCAGCTATTGTCGCACAAGCATCACTGGAAGAGGAGCCTCAATCCTTCCTACCGGAAGAAACCTCTAAGCCCTTTGACCTACGATCTAGAATACTTATTGAATAAACAAGGGGTTGAATTCATAAGTACTCATGAAATATGATTCCGACGGAACCCCCAAATCAGGGCACCTTCTCCCGAAGCCCTATTCAACTCCCGCGAGCGCCAACTGAAGCCCAAGCCCGCAGGATGTTTGCATCCCCAGAACTTATGGGTGTAGGGTAGAAGGCTTTAAATTGTCGATATCTACGAAGAAGCAACACAGTAACAACAAACACCAAAATCAAGAAGCATCACCGCAAAGATATCGCCTAAGAGAAGCCCTCAGATGTTATGCGCAGTTCGAAACGGCAGGGCTTGCAACCCGGATTTCAAATCGTAAGCAAACACCACAGAAAACCTGAGCTTCTTGTCCGTCTGGCTGCTTCTAGCTTGCAAGAATATCACCGAAGCCCCAAAACCAATTCCCCGAAGCTCCCAGGCGGTGTCTTTCTAGCAGAGAGCTCTCGGCTTGATCCGGTTTCGGCGGAGGCCCATCAAAGGCGGAACCGAGCGTTCCTGCCTTCGCAGGTTGTGTTCATAGCCTGAAGCGCCTTTAAAAAGAAGAGCATCCTCAGTGTCTGATCCGGGATGGTCCGGCAAGGGTGTGAGGATGGCCCTGTGTGCACAATCATTTTGAACATAACATCCCATCCTGTTCTGTCGTAACACGACCTGAAAGCCTTGAACCTTCGGTTTCCGCAGATGATGTAGAGCTTGCCACTCCACTCCATCGCAACCAAGGCGGGTATTTCATAACTGCTGGCTTCCCCACATAGCAGCTGCTGCACTGTTGCTTCGACCGGCTGCCCCCGATGTTCTCCATGAAGGAAGACATCGCTCACCTCGTCGTGCGAAAAGCGGATGCGCGGATCACTGGTTTTGTACCAATCCAAGCACTCCGCAAAGTCGCGCTCTGCCTCTGGATTTCTTGAAGGATCCAACCGCCACAAAGAATGCGATTCTCCCTTCAGAATGTCCTTCAGAAGCAGCTTCTGTAGTGGTGTGCATGAGTCCGGGCTATCTGCCGCATTGTTCCGCGAAATGGCTTCGTCGACCGCCTGCTGCAGGTCCGGGGTAACCGCCGACCTGGGGGATTTGACCAAGGTTGCTCTCAAGGGAAGTTCGAGAAGTAACAGGTGCACCGCTGCTTCTGAAACCCAAGACAGCCCCAATCCGTTTGAAACCTACGACCTGGAGCCCGAAACAAGGGTCCATCCTTGAACTACCAAAACCGACTCCTTTGCAGGGTCCCGTTTTATATCCTGAATTAGTGTTTATAATCAGAACCTACATAAACGTAGGGTTATGGTAGTTTAAAGCCGAGACAGCACCCACCTCCTGAGTTCCTTCAGCTCCGAACATGGCCGCCGTTCTTCCAGCCAGGCGCGGAAGGCCCTCCGCGTCGCTGCCTGCAAGGTCCACGCGTGGATCCCGGGAGCTGGGGGCCGGAAGTCTTCCTGGGAGAGTCCGCAAATTAGGGGGTACCTTTAGGGTTCCACAAAAAAAGGGGCTACTATAAGGGTACTATAAGGGTTCCTTGAAAGGGCTCTATAAGGCTTTAGAGCTTCGGCAAACTAGGGTTACCTTATTTTGGGGGTCCGTGTAAGAAGGATCTTACTAGTTTAGGGTGCTTTGTTGGGGTTCCCTATTTTGGGAAGCTCCCTCCTCGCGAAGGCCACGGCACTGCTTGAACTCCTGGGGAAAAGGAGAAACTGTGGAGCTTCTGGATTCGGGTTTAGGGTTTATAGGGTTTAAAGTTTTAGGGTTTAAGGCTTAAGGTTTAGGGTTTAGGTATTCTGTGGTTCAGGGTTTAGGTAGTATTATTAGGGAGACCCCTTAGAGGGTACCGCTTCTGAACCCTACTTCTGGCTGTCTTAAAAGGGGCCTTATTGAGAGGGTCTATATCCCCAAGGATCCCCCTAATCCTGACTCCCAGGGTTTAGGGTAGCTGTCTCCGGGATTACGTTAGGAAAAGCCAACCCTCTTGAGAATAGAGATCTTGGATCTGAGAAGTTTGGGCATGTCGTCATGTCCTCGATCAGGTTGACAAACACATTGAGCAAGCCAGCCTCCCACCGCTGCCGCACTTGCCAACCAGCTGCGAGGCGGAAGGCGAGAGTCTCATCCTCGGCCGGCTCTTGTTCAGAAAGATATATAATAGCAAAAAGATAATGGCTTCCTTTTTATGGCAACTTTAAGGAGTTCCCTAATAAGAACCCAGTATCCTTCACGGTTCGCCTCTTCTGCAGCATCTCATGCGTCTGCTTCAGATCGCTGAACATGCTGGTGCTCTGGTCTGTGCGCTCCGCCACGCAAAAGACCTCAGCTGCCTGGTGGTAGGGATCCAGCTTGTTTAACCTTGCAGCGATGGCAAACCGCTCAATCCCCGGACCGACGATTTCTTCCATCTCCGGGTGATTGGCGATGAGTTGATACCACGGACGGCCCGAGTGGGTGAGATCGATCTCCACATCTTCGTCGCCACTTCGCCGTAGCTTCGCGTGAAGCGCGGGCTGGCAGCAGCGCAGGATGTCCTTGCACTTTCCCAGACGAGACGCTTATTTTCAGGATCATGAAATATCACAACCAAAGCCAGACCAGCATTCTGCTAAGCCATTGTCAAGCCGATGCAGCTCGAACTGCAGTGCCCAATCAAATGCATCTACACCCTGCATAGTTATGTAGTTATGACGACGATGCCGCATTTGCACACCACATCAAAACGACCTCTCCTGCGGTTGTTTACCTCCGTTGTGAGTCTCATCCCCGTGTATTTACGGAGAAACAGCCATCAAGCGTCTACGGCCCAAGAGCCCTGGTACCATCCGCGGCTCAAGTCAGATGACTCGCCGCCACTACCCGCAAACTTCATGTTCCAGTCGCTTTAAGAACCGCCCGCAGACCCTTTAAGAATTCAAGCCCACTGTGAGGCTTAGAGCTTTGGTCCACGGTTTTGGGGTTTCGGGTTCGCCCTAAACCCTAAACTCTACACCCCAGGTTCAACCGATGTCCTCCAGGCCGCTACTGGTGATGGCCTCGCAGCGTCGGAGCTCTGCGATGGTCAGCGGAGCTTGGAAAGTCCGGGAGGTGTCTGGATGCCAACCCTCGATGTTCCGCCAGAAGTCCTTGACTGGGCGTTTAAGTTACCAGGGAGAAAAAATATAAGCTTTTGTTTCATAATGGTTCCTTTAAGAAAGAAGTAGATTAAAGCAATGATACTCCAGAGCCCAGTCCAGGGCTGTGGGTTTGGGACTTCAGGGCTCGAGATCTGGGTGCAGGGATTGGAACTTAAAGTGTTCTGGCTGAGGGCTTGGGGTTCTCCGATTATCCGAAGCCCCACGAGCCCAAGGCTTACGGAGTGGAAATCGCCTAGACCCCAAAGTCCGGTACCTCTGTAGCCCTTGTTAATGGAAATTGCGGTCTGAAACAGGTGGCCCTAGACCTACATCGTGTTGCAGGAAATATCATAGAAGCCAAATGTAAACAAAAATCGTAAACTAGAAAAGGGTCCAGCTCCATAGCATACATCCGGCCCACCCTAAAGCTCAAACCTGAATCCTAAACTCCGAAACCTAACCCTAGAATCCTACCACCCTAACCTCAAAATCCTGAAGCACTGAACCCTGAAACCTAAACGGACGCCTAAGCCCCAAAACCTCGAGTCCTGGCTCTCCAGGTCATAAAAGTGCATCAGCCGCTTTTCGGGCAGCCACTGCCAGTTCTGGTGGACCTCGAAACTTTCATAACTGTAGAAGAAATCTTGAAACGATCCTTCAGAGTTTGGGGTTTAGAACTCGGGTTTAGTACTTCGACTTGGGAGTTTGCAGCTTTGGAATTTTGGAATTCACATCTTCGGACTTCGGCCGTCAGGGTAAGGGTCACTGCTGGATGGGAGCAAATCTCGGGTGAGGTCAGGATGAAAAGGGAAGTGCGATGCCGATATGGTCAGCGATGGTGATGGTACCCACATTTCCATCCTCATCTACTGTCAGCGCACCTCCCACCGCAAATTTCGTGCTCGAGATTTCTGGGCAGTTCCGTCTTTGAGCTTTGAGCAGTTTCTGGGAGCTCATAAAGATTTAGAGCCAGGGTCGGGGGACCGTAGGGATTTGGGGTTTAGGAATTTCGTGCCAAACACGCAAGAGCACGGGGTGGTGCTTGGGGCGCCGACCTCCTCCCATACCCGCCGCCACTGCGGCGACAGTTTCGACGGGTCTTGGCACAGCAGAGCCACGAAGCCCACGCAAGCAGCCCTTTTGCGGTGCTCCGCGGTGCCGCCCAACGCGAGGACCTTGTGCGAATCGAACTTGAAAAGGCCGCCATAGGAATACTCCTCCGGAAAAAACTGCTTCAGCCACTTCGTGAGCTCTTTGGTCTGGTCCTTTCACTTCGAGATTGACCAGCGTTCCCCAAAGCACTCTC